CAGTCTAGTTGTGGAGGACGTTGCTTCACTGGCCCAAGCTGGCACCATCATTGTGCTCTTCCCAGGCAAGGCAGACCAGTTGCCGGCTTCTGGACGGCTGCTCATGGCGGCTGCTGGCCGCTCACGCTAGCTGCTGACTACATACAGTGGCTTATGGCAACCCACTGCAGCAGGGGCTGCAGCCTACACAGTCGCCGGCGACTCATGGCAGCCCAGCTCCAGATTGAGCTGCTGCTCACCATCTTAGCTGCAGAGGGCAGTGTCACTGGCCCTCATATGTGGGATCCGAACCCGGGTCCTCTGGCATCCCAAGCCAGTTCTTAACCAACGCGCCACTCAGCTGGCCCCCACATTTTTTGTATGTTTGAACATTTTTGTACTAAAATTGTGGGGATAATTTTAAAAATTCAAAAGGGGAGAAATGAGAAAAAAGCAAGCAACAGAAAACACTAAGCAGACTGAAACTCAAAATATACCTAGTTGTATATAACATTCCAAATAAGTGGACTAATTATATCTCAAGTTTATTTTTTAAAAAAAGGAACTAGGTATTTTAGTTAAAATACAAAGATTGTCAGACGCAATATACAAAATTATAGCTGTTTACAAGAGATACACCTAAAGAATGGCTGCGGGAGGGAGCGGCAGAGGATATGGAGGGCTCCTAGCTTTCCTTGCACTCGCTCCTTTTTCCCTCCACCGTGTCTGTCCGCGGGTCTTTGAACTTGGAGACCAATGCAGAGGACTTTCTGCGGTGCTGGGTTCAAAGAGGGCTGGGTGGGCGCAAGGGGCGCCAGGCTCACTGCGGGTACCTGGACGCTTTCACCTTCACAGCCTGGCCCTCCCTTCGGGAGCCACCTCCAGAGCAACCCCGTCGCCCTCCCCGCGCGCGCGACGGCGTGCGCCGGGCCCAGGGTTTCCAGTTCTGGTGACAACGAGGGCTGTGTCCAGGGTCGCTCCCTTTACCTTTTGCCTATCAGTCCTGGGATGGGATCTCTGCGTCAAAGACCCAGCTCCCCTCCCGAAGCCATTTCCCACACTTCCCACACAGTAGAGTGCTGGGCTCTCGCTCTAGGGAGCTGCATATCTCTCCCTCCC